CTGCAGAGGAAGAGGTAATTGTGAGACACAGAGAGGTGACTGGAGGGCTGAGCCACTGTGCTCCGTCAGGCACCGCAAGGGCTCACCCTCTGATCTGGCCCCTCACGGGGGCTCTTGGTGAAGCCAAGTTCAGCCACCTTAGGCCACAGCAGGTGCTGGATGGCACCCAGAGGTGGGGCAGCTGCTGGCCTCATTTCCCCACTGCGGGTCCAAAGTGCACGGTCATCTGCGTGTTCCCCTCCGGCTCTCCCACCCAAGAAAGTACGTTGGAAAGCAAGATTTAAAAGCGACATTTTTATATGGAAACCATTAAATCTGATCTTTTCCTTTTTAAGCACATCCTCCTCCCACTGCAGTGCTTTATTAATAATAACAAATTCTACCGACAGGCCTCCCGAGAGATCAAGGCAGCCCAACGTGTCGCACACTGACACTGGGAGCTGCGGCTTTAAATACTCTTCCTTCTCAGGTCTCTGTCCTGGGGCTTTTCTTCCAGTCTCTCTCTACTTGTGGCCTTGTAAATGTGCTATTTGGTGCCCTTCTGAGTAAAGAAAAGTTAAAATGGTAATTTATTAGCATGAGTTTTACCAGTTATCTCTATACTGTACAATGCCAGTTTTAAATATAAATACAAGGGCGGTTAACTGCAGGGCAGAATCTCTGAGAATTACAGAACTTGCATTCTGTAGCTCACATGAGCATATGCATTTGGGCTTTACCAGAGCAGTGTAAATGCCACGCAGACGGAACGCGACTATTTTTACTTCCCTTCTTGATATGTACACATCCTACTAACACTCTCTACCTTTGGCTTACAGATCGAAAAGACAGTCCAAAAAGAAAAGGAGCTGTGGATCGTCTTAGCTTTCCTTTTCTTGTCTGTCAAAACTGTCAGCATGAGTTGTTGGCTACTACCGAGAAGTAACAGGAGTAAGAAACAACACAACAGGGCTCTCTGGTCGATCGTGTTTCTTAAAATGCCCCTGCCTTCCTTCTGTGGTCTAAACAATTTTGGTTCGAACAGAAGGGATGGCCTGTCGGGGCTGTCAGCTGTCTGCTTGCTCAGTCCTCAGCGTCACAGGCTTACCTTGTCGTCCCTGAGTCCCCTGAACTGCCAGGCATCCTGGTCCTCTCGAAGCCTGTGCTCGCGGGGCAGTCTGAGTTCTACGTGTGCGTGGGCGACAGGGACAGTGAGCATGCCCATCGCGCCCATGTCCCTGCTCATAATGTGCTCTGCCGTCCATCTGGCTTCACTTACAAAAGTTCAAAGATAAAGTTATGAAGAATTTCAAGATGGCAACAGCACAGGTTTAAATCAAGTTCGGGACCTGCTTGAGCACGAGCCCTGCATGGCTCTCAGGTCACAAAGCAATGCAGCCGGCCCTGCCCTATCGCCTCAGTGTGCCCAAGTCACACTGGCCTGATATGGTCCTTCCTGGTGAAGGGCCCTACGGCAGTGTCCCTCTCTCGTCCTGTGGCCTTAGCTCAGCCATCACATCCTCAGGGCACATCCTTAGGTCAGCCCTGTCTGCCGGACCAGGTCCCAACTCTCCCAGCCCCAGCCATGCGTCACAGTCACCATTCTCCGTTAAGGTCTGCGACCCTCTGGTTGCTTATTTCCCTCCCCTACAGGACTCCAGCAGCTGGTAGGCCAGGACTGGCCTGGTTTCCTTGCTCACTGTTTCACCAGTGCTGGGCACCAAACACATATTTAGAGGGGGAATGAATGGACGAACAAATGAATGTAAGTCTTTGCAGCCAGAACATAAGTGTCTGATGAAGAGGTGGGATAAATGAGGGTGACGTGAATTCCAGGGTTTTTTTTAAGGGCACTAAGCCCTATCTCAGTCTAAGCCGGTGAAAACTAAGTGAGCACTGCATTGCCCTTGTTGACTGTCTCTTCTACTAAGTGATGAGTGCTTAGGATAGGGTGTCCTTATGTTTCCAGATGTCCAAGTCATTTTCTTTGTATGTCCAGGCCCAGCATAGTGCCTGGCACTTAGTCAGCTCTCAAAAACTACAGGGTCTGTTGAACCGAACTGAGCTGAATTGAGTGAGATGAAAGTATGTCGCCCTGAGGTTTCCTTCATCTCCCCCTACCCCATGTCTCTTCCTCCCCCTCCTGCTTCTCTGGTCCTTCCTTCCTGTCCTTTCCTCTTGTGAAGGATTTCTAAGGCTTGAGAACTACTTTAATTGCAATCAAGTGTTTCCAACAGAAAATTACCCTCTTTTATTTTTGGGTTAACTGGACTCTTCAAAGAGAAATGGTCGGATTCGTCTTATAATCATAGCAGTGGCTGGGCACTTCAGAGAATGCCGGAGAAGCAGTCTGGACATATTCGGTGGTAATATTCCTGTGTTGGCATTGATCTTTGGATAGAATCACAAGGCAGGCACTTTAGAAGTTCATCCATTTAAGCCCCAGATAATTCAGAGCAGAAATAACAGGAGATGGAATGAAGCCTGTTCTTCCACCCTGAGGGCTGCAGAGGAGCTTTGTCTGAGGCAGTGCGGAGGTGCCGGGTGATCCCGAGCAACAGCAGTATAATGGGACCAGCCTTCTTGTTAGAGCCTGGCCCACAATCTGTCTCTCCTGCCGGTTAGTCCACAGCTGCATCTGAGAAATGGCCAGGAGGCGATGTAGTGGAAATGGAGAGTTCATAACGAAACTGAGGATCAATAAAATAATAAAAATCAAAAGCCTAAAGGTAAGATTGTTATCAATTGACCATCTCGGAAAACATTGTTAGTAAGAGAGCAGGGCATGCTTCCTATATGTGAAATGGGGGATTTATCTCTGAGTGAGGCTTGAATGGGGATATGGAGTGTGATAGGAAGCAAGTCCCTCAAAAGTTATGGGGCTGCCCTGGCCAAGTGGCTCAGTTGGTGGAGCATCGTCCTATACACCAAAAGGGCATGGGTTCGAGTCCCAGTCAGGGCACATACCTAGGTTGTAGGTTCAATTCCTGGTTGAGGAGCATGAGGAGGGCAACCAGTTGATGTTTCTCTCTCACATCAATGTTTGTCTCTCCCTCTCTCTCTCTTTTTCCTTTCTCTAAAATCAATAAAAACATATCCTCAGGTGAAGATTAAAATAAAAAAGAAGTACGGCCAGAGTGGCTCAGTGGTTGAGCATCGACTTATGATCCAGGAGATCCCAGTTCGATTCCTGGTCAGGCCACATGCCCAGGTTGAGGGCTTGTTTCCCTGGGATCATGCAGGAAGCAGTCAATCAATGACTCTCTTATCATTGATGTTTCTTTCTCTCTCCCCTTCTCCTTTCCTCTCTCTGAAATCAATAAAATATATTTTAAAAATAAAAAATAAATAAAAACGAAGTTATGGGGCTGCTTGGAGACAGTGCAGTGGAGAAAGGGCGTGGGTTTAGAAGTCAGCCATATCTGGGTTTTATACCACCTTGACCTCTGTGACCTTCACCAAGTAATGACCTTTCTGATTTTTTTTTTCTTTTTTTTTAATTTGCACAAACTGGTATAAAACCTCTGCCTTACAGGTTTGTTATGAAGATTAAAGGAGGTCACCCAGGCCCGGGTACAAAGCTCAGTACCTGGCACAGAACAGGCACGCAGTCATGTTTCCTTTCTTCTCACAGTGTCACTTTGCAACAGCGAGGCAGGTGCCTGGTCACCCTGAGGTGAGGGGCCCCTAGACTGTGCACCCTAGGTGCCTCACCATGGTTCCAGCAGTGCAGCTGGGGCAATGTCAGACCAGGGTTAGGCTACCTCGGGATAGGTGCCCTCCTCCCAACACTTCCTCATGGACCATTTTACAAGTCACACAATTGAGAGCCAAAGAATCAATATAACTTGACTAAATCAGTGAGTAATCGGCAAGCCTGGGATGTGAATCCAGACCTCTGGGTTCTAAGCCTGCATTTTGCTCCCAGGCCACTCGGTGCCCAGGCCATGTGACACTCACACACTCCTTTGCACCCTGAATGGTCTTACTGGACATCTAGACATTGTCTCCCCAACAGATCTATAAACTCCCTCAATGCAGGAAAAAAACATATTTCAAATTTTCAGCACCTCCCAAGGCACGCAGTACAGGGCTTATTTGCAGTCGGAGTTCCAGAAACAAATATCTATTCATGGGGACAGGGAAGATATTTTCATGGCCTTGTCATTTTAATGCAGAGGAATCGTTTTAATATACATTAAGCCACCTGAGGGGGAGAAATACATTAATTTCACAACATGTGCGACCCTTTAAGAAGTTAGTTTCTCAGGCTCCACTGGGATTCTGGAACTCACACAGACTCACCCCCACTGTTTTGAGAGAAAAATTGTGACTCATAGTGGAGTCCCTCTCCCCACAGGGAAGTGGTAGGTGGAGAGACATGGAGGGGACAGGGGGAATGTGGCTGCAGCAACGTGGGGTGTTTAAATCAGGAACAAAGGACAGATCAGAACAGTGCAGCCCATGTTTAGCAAGCAAACAAATCGCCTGTGGACCCTGTTAAAATGCAGGTTCTGACTCCACTCAGGAGGTCTGGGTGGGACCTGGGCCTCTGTATTTCTAACAAGCTGATTCACAGGGCGCACGTTCAAGTAGAAAGGATGTGGTCACAGGACCAAAGATTGTGAACTCTTGGGCCTTTTCCTCCTTTCCTCTGCAGTCATTTGTCTTTTGACTGTGGGCAAATTTTTAATCTCAGACTGGGCAGAGGGCAAGCTGGAAACCTGCTCAGAAACGTGGGAAACCAGGATCATCAGCCAGCTCCCAGCACGTGACTCTCCCCTCTTCTTCTCCCAGATACACTTAATGAGTGACATTTCCATGCTCGAAACACTTCAGTCTTACCGTCCATGAAATGAACGTGTTGGGCTGGGCCTCTGGAGGCCCCTTCTGGTCTGACAGCTCTGTGTGGAGGAAATGGCCTGGAGGCGTTAGCTTTGCAAAATCTGGTGCAACAGAAGCTCTGTCTTCAGTCTGGCGGTTCTCAGGATTCCTGCTCACTGTCTCTCATCCTTCTGCAGGGGAAATTTGTGCTTTCAAGATCCACGGCCAGGAGCTGCCCTTCGAGGCCGTGGTGCTCAACAAGACATCGGGAGAGGGCCGGCTCCGTGCCAAGAGCGCCATCGACTGCGAGCTGCAGAAGGAGTACACGTTCATCATCCAGGCCTACGACTGTGGGGCGGGGCCCCGGGAGACCGCCTGGAAGAAGTCACACAAGTGAGTCACCTGGCACAGCTCCCTGGACTGCCTCCCACTCACCCACGCATCTCTGTCACACACGGCTCTTCCCATATGTCTACCCAGGGGTCACACCATGGCGCTCCAGCCTGCTCCTCTCCTGCCAGTCCCCCAGGCCACTGCAGGCATTGGCACTGGCTGCTTCCGACATCTGAAACTCTCTACCCCTGCTTCACAGAGGGATAGCCCAGTTCCACCGTCAGACTTGAGTTCAGGTGTCACTTCATCTGGGAAGCCTTCCCTGAGCCAGCCAGCCGGCCTGGCTGGGGCCTCTCCCTGGGTTTCCTCCATGCCACGTGCTTCTCTCTGTTCCAGCACTTTTCATTTTGGGTTGTAACTCTCTCCCTTATGGTCTCTGACTCAGAGACTAACACGGAGTAAGAGTGGTTAACTTCTTACTCAATGGAGGAGTGAGTGAACAGAAGAAGGAATGAATGGGGGAAAGGAGAGACAATCCAGAGGAATGCAGTTGCCGAAATAAAACTGAGCGACAAGAAAGGTCAAAGGGCAGGAGTGGCTCTGGGGTGGATTCATCCCTGGGGATCAGGGCGAGGGTAGGTAGAAGGGTCTCCAATGAGAGGGAAGACAGAACACTCACCTGGGAAGACAACCACCAACTGATTGGCTCGTGGTTTCTGTTTTCTTGGTTCACCAAAGACTGTGACCACTTGGGCCTTTTCCTCCCAGGGGAGGTGGGGAGGGTGGTGTGATTCTTTCTTTACCACCATCTCTTCTTTTCTGCGTGTGGTTCCAGGGCTGTGGTCCATATCCAGGTGAAGGACGTCAATGAGTTTGCTCCTACCTTCAAAGAGCCAGCCTACAAGGCTGTTGTGACCGAGGGCAAGATCTACGACAGCATCCTGCAAGTAGAGGCCATCGACGAAGACTGCTCCCCCCAGTACAGCCAGATCTGCAACTACGAAATTGTCACAACCGATGTACCTTTTGCCATCGACAGAAATGGTGAGTGTCCTGAGAGGACCTCAGTGGGGGCAGGGAAACAATCCTCACCCTCATTCTGAAGGCCAAGTGGGGGCCTGAATGTACTTAGCAGGTGATGCCTCCCTGCCCATCCCTGATCTAGGCTCTGTAGTCAGAACTTAGTCCTGGACTAGAGCGGTGGCCTGACATTCCTAGCAGCCCAGCTAGGTATAGAGCATCCCCCCTAAGACATCTACTCATCGAATACAGTCTATAGAACTCACAATGCCACTCACCCGGATGCTGCAGACAGGTTGATTTTCTGGTAGGTTTTTCAGTTGTCATCAGACATGAGTCACGTCATCAACTCGGCTATGTCTGAGTCCCTTCCTTACATAAGCAATTATAACATTACCCCACCACAATAACCTGCTTCCTGCTCCTAAACAAAGAGTTGCCAGAAGAAGAGGTAAAGACTTATGAAAAAAACCTTCTAAGCTGCAGATCTACTCAGGAATCTTTAAAGGTCTTGCCAATGCTCTTTGAGAATTTTCACCCTAGTGAGAATGAAGGATGGAAGAACCCTCCCAGGCCACTCCAATCTTAAACTGAACTTATTGAACTAAAAACAGTCCTAATAAAACCATCTGGACATTTCTCTGTCACCATTAATTAAAAACTCATTGTAGTGTAAATACAACAGCCAGAGGCTGTCAACTCAGCCCACTTTAACTGCAATTTTCAATAACTTGATATCGATCAATGATAATTATTTGCCAAGTATATTGTTTAATTATTAGCATGAGTGTGTGGGTGCATGTATATTATCCCACTTTGTTTCAAATAGACTTAAGTGCTGCACAAAGATTCGAGAGTTGCAAAACCTGAAGTTCATCTACTCTGTAAATATTGTATTTATTGAATGCCAAGCACGGTGCTGGGAACTGGAATGGAGATAGAGTAGAACCTAAGCAGACATCGGCCTGCCCACATGGAGCTTATCATCTAGTGGACGAATAGTTGATCATAGGGGAACAGAAAAATACAAAAGAATTGTTTTTTACTTTATGAAGTGGCGTGTGTGTGTGTGTGTGTGTGTGTGGTGAGATGTGTGTCTGTGTGGTGGGGGAAAAATCAAAATAAAATATACAAAGTCAGGTGGCATCAAGGTAGAGTTTGGTATGCAAAGAATGCCATGAACCAGGGTTGGGCAGTAAGTTAGCTCTGAGCTTCCTGGTAGCCAATACCTAAAGGGAAATACCACCAGTCACCTGCTTGCAAGTCTTCAGTGCTTCCAGTGATTCCTGATATTGAGACCAGGGAGAAACTTAACTTATGATATTGACTTCTGCATCTTTAGACCTGCAAAAAATTCCAGAAGGGATAGAAGCCTAGGAGAAATCCTCCTCCCTTACCTCCAGTAGTTAGTGAGGTGTTTCATAAGAAGAAATCAATATTCCTAACATAGACAAAATAGTACTAAGTCAAGTTTCCTTATGAAATGCTAAAACACATGAAAATGACACACACTTTGACAACACTAGATACTAATTGTGAAGGACACAAGATCAGTGCCTAAGATAGTAATATAGAAAATACTAGACTTCAATTAAAGTTTGGTTCAGGACTAAGAAATAGTAATTTTAACTAGTAGAGCATGTCAGAACTTCCCTCTGATAGCTTTTCCTACAGACAGGTGGCCCATCCCTACCACACAAACACACATCTCACCACATACACACACACACACACACCACTTCATAAAGTGTAAAACAGTTCTTTTGTATTTTTCTGTTCCCCTATGATCAACTGTTTGGTCTATGTCCACAAAAACTGGAATTTGGGGAGTGACAAGTCCCTGCTGAAGAGCAGAACTAGAGAGAGAGGTGTCTATGGTGAGTTGTCAAGCTCCCCTTGACCTCCTGCCTTGGCCCTGGAGAGCCACAGGCCAGTGAGAGATGAGATGCAAATTCTTTCAGCAGAGGGTAAACTGCCCCAGTCATGAAGATAATTACTCACCTTGATGAGCCATTTCACTAACATATGCCAATTTATTTCCCTAGCTGTCTCATTAAAAGTGACTAATGGTTCTTTGCCAGGCCTCTGCCTCCAACGTTGGTTTACAACATAAGATGAAGAGGAGAGTGGTCACTCCCAGGGAGGGTGGGCCCCTGACAGTGAGGTTTACAAAAGCAGTTCTCCAAGTAATGAAGGTAGGACCTAGGGGCAGGCACAGAAACAGCTCCCATCCTAATGAGCTTCCCAACTGGCCCTTATCCATCACTCCTCCAGCGACCTTACAGGCTCCTTCAAGAAGTTCTTTGCATGCATATCAGAAAAAGTACTGCTGAGTTGGGGATCCCTCATTGAGGCAGCATGGCTTCAAGTAGATGGCTCCTGGCCCTTCCAACCTGCCAGGCTCTTTGTTTTGGGGGGAAGGAAGGAGAGCAGGGCAGCAGGAAGGATAGAAGATAACATGGAGTCAGAATGGCCTGTCTTAACTGAAGACTCGACCTCTTCCAACAGAGGTCCTCAGCCTCTGTCTCCTGTGAAATCATGGCAGTAATAGTTCCTGCCTCACTGTGGGGTTGTGAGGTCTCAGGGAGAGGCAGTGCCCAGAAATAATACTTGCAGGGTATGTGGTATATAGGGAGTGCTCAATTCATGGTGCCATGATTATTAGATATTTACCTGGATGACTGGGACATGAAGGTTATTCACTCACTCCCCATGGATTTCCAGGCTGAAATTATGAGCAAGTAACTCTGAGCTGGTGACATCACTCTTCCTTGGGAAGTTCTATATCAATTTCAGATGACAGCCAGGTCCCCAACTTCTGGCACTTGGCCAGTCTTTCAGAGATCGGTGGAGCCTAGATGCTCATTTCCATTGAACAGATGGAAAAACTGAGTCCTAAAGCATAAAGAGCTTGTCTAATAGCACCTGTCACGTGGGTGGCAGAGTTGGGACTGGAGCCCAGGTCCCCTGAGTGTTGGCCCCAAGGCCTTCCCACCAATGATATTATCTCTCCTTAATGATATTTGACAGGAATGCACGACAATGTTCAAAAGCTCAAAGTTGTGTCTTAATCCTACATCCATCAGTGTGTGTGTGTGTGTGTATGTGAGAGAGAGAGAGAGAGAAAGAGAGAGAGAGAGAGAGAGAGAGAGAGAGAGTTACTTAAACCTAGCCCCAGATCCTCATCCGTAAAATGGGAATTAAATATCTTGCCTGTGTAAGGGGTGGGTAAACTACAATCAAGGCACTCACCAGAGCCTTGACGCAAGCCAAACGCTCAGCCAGATTTGAGAATGACCACAGAGGGAGCAGCGGGGGTCTTGATGACACCCACTCACCACTGGGCTGCCTTTCCCACTTCTCAGGCTTGTTTGGTCTCAGCCGAGCTCGCTCTGTCAGCCAGCCGCCCTGCTGAGTAACAAACAAGACTGAAGCCTTTGAGTGAAGTGCATCCTAGGCTCTGTTTATTCTTAAAGTGAATGAAAATGCTTCTCTTCCACCTGAACAGAAGAGTGACAAGTGCCCTTTGTGGGAAATTTGGAAAGCATAGTAAAGTATAAAGAAAATAAGGCACTTATAATCCCACCAAAGATAACCACTATTAAAATATTTTTCTTAAAGTAACCACTATGGACATTTACCAGTATTGGTGTTTTTTTTTAATGGCTTTTTTAAACAAAAGTATGGCCACATGTTTCTTGCTTTTCTTTATCTTCCCATTTTTACTTAACATTCAATTATGTGGATTTTTGCACCTTAGAAATGCTTCATAATTACCACTTTCAGTGCTGACAACTCTCCATCTCATGCACAGACTCTTACACGTAGCTCCTCCCTTCCTATCAGACATGCAGTCTCTTTATTATTTTGTCAATGTAATAAATAATGCTGAGATGGACATAGTTTCACCTGTATTTGCAATTTTTCACAATAAATATCTGAAATTTTTGTCATTTTTCTGAAATCAATTTTTAGGTGTGGAATTGCATGCCCAAAAGCTGTGAATAATTGCACAGTGACTGGCCCGTTCTTTCCTAAAGGCTTGTTCCAATCTAAACTCCATTGGAAGGAGTGTGCAGGTCACTGTGCTTGCCTCATTACACCCCGCTCCCCACCTGAGTTTTAAAAAATTACCTTCATCCACATGCAAGGTAGGTACTGATTGTTCTTCGAGTTAGGTCCCCAGGTTCATTTGGACAGGGGAATAGGCCCAGGGGCAGCTATCCTTCACCAGGGTTAACTGTGGACTCGGGTCTCCCTGAGTAGGCACCACTAGGAGAAATTACCCAATTGCAAGAGGGGGAAATAGAATTGTAACAGGCAAAATGGGTGGCTTCTTCTGAGCTACCAAAATTTTAAATGGGTGTCTCATCCAGATATTACCCTCCCTCACACAACGGTGGTTCCCAATACTGCTCTCTGATTTTGACCTGATGCTGCACATCCTGTGCTCAGAATCTTATCCTCACATGCATGAAAGGTGGCAGAGAAAGGAAATTAGTTTCTCAGACAGTTTCATTAAGACAGGTACCGGAGAGGAGCTGCAACAAATTGAGGCAAGGATTGCCGGCGTGTGTTTATTTTTCTAGCACAATCAATAGTGTTTGGTCTGCTTAATGTCACACGGATTGTAAACCCTAAGCCTTCCTCCTCTAAGAGGCACATCTTTTGAGAGCCATTTAACTTTAAAGAAAGAGAAAGTACAAACTTTTTGTTGAAAATTCAGTTTGATGTTGCTGAAACCTGCTTCTCGTGGGTATAGTACGGGGCCTCCACCTGACAGAATTCCTCCCCTGTGATAACAGCAGCCACAAACGAGTTAGTTAACAGAGCCCGCAGGGAGCGCTGCCAGCCTGAAGCTGAGCCGTCCAGGCCTGTGTGAGCCCCAAGCTGAGGCTGAAACAAACATTTGGGGGGAAAGAAGCGGATTCTGAACATCAGCCACAAGGCCAAAAATACCTCTAACCCATTTTTATTCAAAGATTTTTGACTGGCTTTGTTAAAGTAAATTTTACTCCAAATCCATGGTGGCAGTTGCATTTTTAGAAACAGTCCAGAGCAGATAGCAGAACAAATTATCCTAATCCTTGGTCCAATGTCCTGGGCAACTTCAGCCCTCGTCGCCCACCGCTCGCCCACCCTCCCTCCTCCTGCTCACACACACTCACATGTGTGGCACCTGCTCGCGGCCCAGTGCTGAGTAATGTTTAATTTCGGGCGATTGGTGGATGGACTTTCCCGTCTTTAAAACGTTCTGTGACTTGCCTCGTTTCCCAGGCTTTCTTGGCTTAGTGCCTGTTGTCTCCGTGCACGTGAGAAATATCCATCAGTCGGAATGGAAGAAAGCTCGTTAGGGAGTTTCCCTTAGCTTGGGTGAAATCTAAAAATATGCCGAGTCAGCCGTCGCATGTTTGTTTACTTGCTTGTCGCCTTGTTGTTGTTGTGCCTTTCATTTCAATTGCCTTCATTTCGCTTCTGGTAGAGGATGGTGATGACATTTGGGTTCGAATTTGCTGTCAGCGCCACCATCAGAAGAAAATGCAAGAATGAAATCACTCTCAACGAGGGAGGACTACAATCTCTGGGAATCAAAAACTAAAAATTATTCAGTGCACATCGGGCCTATATTAGTTTCTTGGAACCAAAACCGTATTTTAGCAAAAATTGTCAATTAAAGTTTTACTCATTAATTATCAAATATTCATTTCTGAATCATAATATCAAACCCACAGGGATAAAAACACGCAAATGGCTCATAAAAATGGTTTGGTCTGTCTTGGGGAAGAAAAATGCCTTTGCCACCAGGGCAAGGAATCTTTATTCTGTGTAGCTTTGGAAGAGAGGTCACACGTCTTCTTATTGATTTTACTTCCTATTTGGTAGCAAAATAATGTGAGAAGAGGCAGGGAACATTCCTGGCAATGAACCCAGATGTTAAAAAATATGTGTCAGGACATTTCTGAATTCCATCTTTTTCCCAGAGGTTTCATGGCAGATGAGCTCTGGGCCTTACATCAGGGACGCAGCCGCATGGGGCACTTTAAGAGAGAGTTTTCCAGCAACCCATTACTTACAAACACAAACCAGTTGGATTTCAAGTGCGTGCTTGGAATTTCGAAGCAACACCGTCTCATAGCTGGGGTGGCTCCAGCCAAGGATCCTGGAATCTGCCACATAGGTACAAGCAGGACACCTGTGGAAGCCATGGCTCCGTGCGCCCTTGTTTTTACAAAGGGATAGGAAAGGGGGTCATTTCATTCTGGTGAAGGTTGGAGGACTGAGGAAGGGATTTTGGAGAACTGCAGTATGCTTAACTTGATCTGAAACAATTTTGAATATTTCTGTGTCCTCAGGCAACATCAGGAACACTGAGAAGCTGAGCTATGACAAGCAACACCAGTATGAGATCCTGGTGACCGCCTATGACTGTGGGCAGAAGCCTGCTGCTCAGGACACCCTGGTGCAGGTGGACGTGAAGCCAGTTTGCAAGCCTGGCTGGCAAGGTGGGTCGGCTTTGGTCAGTCTTGTGGAGTAAAGGCAGCTTGACCTGGTGCATGGAAGCTGCTAGACCTATTCTCAAATCGTCATAACACATAACTAGAGGGAATTTTAAAGTGCACTCCCTCTGCTACAAGAAATAGAGTAGCTTGTTTACTCTCACAACCCCTATGGGGTATATTATCTCCATTTTACAGGTGAGAATGTCTGAGGTAACTTGTCAAACGTCATGTGCCCAGTTTGTGCAGTGTGCTCTTTCTCAAATCTCATGACATCTTGAATCAATAGCAATTACCCACGGTGCTCAGAATGGCAAGCAAGCCTGTTCACTTTATCTCGGAGTGCTGAGTCAAGCCGGTGCATTTCAAATGTTGCATCACTCACCACCCGGGGAAGGGTGGGCTTGCACAGAAGGCATCCAGGTCGAGGCTGGAGATCCAGAATCTAGCCTCTGGGTTAGGGGGTCTCTAAAGCATTGGCTCTGGGAATGGCGAAACAATGGCCTTAGATGGAGGTGGATTTTTGTGCTCATTTAAATATTTTAGGATGCAGGGCCAGAACAGAAGTTCAGGTTACTCTCATGAGCTCAGTAAGACATATGAGACATAAAAAACAAAATAGAGACACTTCTGTGCCCGTCTATTTAAGATGAAGCAAGAAGCAGAGAAAGAGGGACCAGCCAGAGAAGGAAACCATGTTCCCAGTCTTCAGGAACCCAAGGTCTGGTTGGGGATAATTCACTAGACCCTAAGGAGCCTGAAGGCAGGATTCTGTCTCTCTGTCCACTGAATTCCTCGGGCTTAGCACATGTCTGGCTCCAATGGTGGGTGCTCAAGGAATAGTCGTGAATGAATGAATAAATGAATGAATGAATGAGCTAGTGGAGTAAAAAAGAACCACCTTGTTATATTTTAACTTGTAAGGACTGGCCCCAGTGAAGGTCTGGCTTTTGAAGAGAAAGCCTGGAAAGAATGTAAAATCTTTCTGAGCATGAAATAAGCTCACAGTGGGATTTTAAGCAGGAAAAGTAAAACAAAACCTTATCTGGAGAACGGTCCCAATGGTTTTTGTCTTTGATAAATGAGACACCTGTGATTTGGGATTACTATATTTAAATGTAATTTTCTAACAGAGTTGGTGCTTGTTTCAGTGTTAAATGTATGCAAAGAAAAACATTTTCATAATGTTCAGTTCCGTGTGTGAAGGCTGTGGGGCACCTGCCCTCTGGGGCATGATGCTCTTTCCAGCTCTAGACGGTGATCTCCTGAAGGCAAGATTGTGCCCATTCGTTGTTGCATCTCCAGTGCCCAGCACAGGGCCAGGCGCAGCACAGGTGACTGGCAAGTGAATGGATGAATGAATGGTGAGTGAGGCCTTGGTAAAAAAATATAACTTTCTGTGGAACAGAGAAAAGAAGGAAGCAGCAGCTCCGTGTGTCAGTTCACCGTGTCCTGCAAAGTGATTGAAGCACGTGTAACGTCAGGATCTGCCTGCTCCGTAGGCTTCCCTGCCTACGTTAGCCAGCCTTTGGTGGCAGACGCTGACATTGGATTCTGCATCATGCCCCTCCTCGCCCCAGCTTACCCCCTGTAGACAGCCAGTTAGACCCTCTCCCGGCCATTGTCCCAGCAGGCTTCCAGATCACAAGCCCTCCAGGTTCTCAGACGTGGGCAGCCATGGTCAAAGCGCCTTCCTGCCATTCCTCTTCCAGCCTCCAGGTCTGCAGAGGCATGTTCTGTCCTTCCAGGATGCGGGTCCACTTTATTCCTCCACTTGGGCAACCCTCATCTCTGACTAATGCATCTTGGGTCCTGTTCTCTCTTCTACCCTTGGCCAGGGCTGCAGCCTTGTAGCTGAGAGTACACCTTTCTCCAGGGGTGAGCAAACCACCACTGGTCCCAGATATGTGTTTCTTGTCCAGCCCCCTCTCCCAGCTTTGTAGGGCAAATGAGTGAGCCATGTTTTACTAGTGTTCTTTGCTAACTGCAGATGAGGTAGGCTGCCCCTCGCTGTGAGAGATTGTCTGATCCTGAGGGAAAGGATTGGCTCTCCCTAAAGCAGGTGTGGGGTGAAGCCTGCACAGTGCAGAATTGGAGAGGAGCACAGAGAGGGGAGGCCATTCGGGGCACCAGTGAACAATATAAGGAAGCCAGTCCGGCCTGGGTTGGTACTGGAGAGAAATGGGGAGCAAGATTGGGGAGGTCAGGGGCAAGGTAGGGTCAGTAGTCAAGATTTTGAATGCCAGGGTGAGGAGCTGCAATAGTCCCCAAACTCCTCAGCCCCAGCTGTGAGTGACAGGTCTGCGGGCATGTGCCAGGCATAATTGTCTGGAACAGAGGTTCCTCCCTGAGCTGACTTCTCACAAGCAACCAGAGTCACCAAGCAAATACAGTTTGGCAGTTCAAATTCTTGTTCCTGTTCCAAGTCATTTCCCTGCAGGCAGGAGGGGATTGCAGCCTAGTGAAAGCAGTCCATCATGTTCAGGAGCCTCCTGTCTCCCCTGAGCACTCCCGGTCAGCACCCTTACCAGCCCTGCTGCAGTCAGCCTCTCCCAGCCAGCTGCCTCGGAGGAGCAAGGGATCCTGCCCACAGCGAGAGCCCTCCAGGACTGGATAAGGGACTGCTCTCAGAGTCCAGTAATGCCCAGGTCAATGGCCCCATTTTCCATCCCAGCCTTTCCCAGCATGCTGCTGGCCTTCCCTGCACTGTTCACAGATGAGCATCCCAGACCCTGGCTCTGCTGCCACCTGCCTTTTAGACCTTGGCCAAATCATCCCTGCTCAGGCTGTGGCTTTCCATTCTCTGTCTCCTTTTGTGGATTGGTCTTGTCTTCCCAGAAACAATGTGGGTTTCCTAAGGGCAGAACTATACTTCTCATAGCCTCTGGCACTTGCCAAACTTTCCACCCATCACAGAGTCTTAAACTAAAAGCTTAATTACCAGCATCACTCACCAATGACTGAGTGGGGCTTATTGGGAGAAAGGAAAGCTTTGTACCCAGAAAATGACCCCAGGGTGCCACACATGTGCTGTCTTGCTCTTCTATGAGTTTTGTCTTCTCTATATTCTGCGATTGTAATTCTGAGTAGGTGGTAAGGTCAGCTCACTCTGCAGGGCCGGGTAGAGTTTTGCTAAGGGGACGTCACTCCCCTTCTCAGTTGCCCAGAGTCCTCAAAGTATCAATTAGACCTGTGTGAGTGGGAGGGAAACTGAATCTCTTTGTTCTGTCCTGAGCTTTGAGAATTCATGGTGTCCCTGTGGGCACCTCGCATTCGCAGAGATGAAAGATTTTAGTAGGAACCAGGAAAGAGGTGCACCTGGAGCAGGCCACACCCTAAACACAAGCTTGTGCCTGCCTCTGGCCAGGCGCCTGGAGTTGCAGTCTTCTTGGTGCCTGTTTTCCTTTTGCAGAGCCGTAATAAATACACAAGCCTGGGCCTGTGTATACTCTGAGGACCATCCTTCAGGAAGCTCCAGGATGCAGTGCCCTCGGAGTCTACCCAGGTGATTGTGGCAATAACAGCAGCGGAACCAGGTGGAGACGCCTGCTGACCCCTCCTTCTGGGGCCACACACTGTGTCCCTGAGGATCGTTTGTAATTCAGTTGCTAGTTTGGGTTGCTTATTTATGTGGTTGTGTTGTGTTGTGTTATGGGACACACATCCCTCCTTTAGGCCTTCTTTATTGTTCCTNGGATCTTTTGTAATTCAGTTGCTAGTTTGGGTTGCTTATTTATGTGGTTGTGTTGTGTTGTGTTATGGGACACACATCCCTCCTTTAGGCCTTCTTTATTGTTCCTTACTGTCCCTTAGCCCATCTCTTTTTATGTCTTAAACTGAAAACACTGTCTTCACAAATTTACTAAGTATATTTCATCTTTTATTGTTGCAAGTCAGATTTTGTATTTATTACCTGTCCCTGACCCAAAATTCACTATTTCACTGTCCCTTTATGCAAAAATGATTCCCCTGTAAAGAGAGTCACTGCATCCCAGCCAGGCGTGGCTCAGTGGTTGATCATTGACCTATTTATGACCCAGGAGATCTCTGTTCGATTCCTGGTCAGGGCACATGCCGGGGTTGCAGACTTGATCTCCAGTCGGGGGCGTGCAGGAGGCAGCCGATCAATGACTCTCTTGTCATTGATGTTTCTATCTCTCTCTCCCCCTCTCTGAAATCAACAGAGATATATTTTTAAAAAAACAAAAAAGAGAGTCACTGCAGGCTTTCCTGGTTGCCCTTCGCCATTTCTTCCCTAGACACATTGCTGACTGACATCCAGTCATACTGGACTCAAGGTTCCCATGTCAAAAATCCACTCCCAGACTCGAACCCCTGCAGAACCCCATTTCTGCTCGCCCACCTCATCTCTGGGCACGACCCCGTGGCAATAATTATACCTGGCCCATGGAAGTCACCCCACAACACCATCTCCCAGAGACCCTCCCACAGGCCCAAGTCCTGTTCTCTTTACCTTCATGGTCAGGTGTCTCATTTCAAAGAGAAAGAAAAGGAGATGCAGTCCCACAGCTGAACCATTTCCTCTCCGTTCCTTGGGTCTGAGCAATTCTCCAGGCGCATCAGACGGTCTCAGCCCTAAGTGTGCTCATAAGCACCCGGAGGCTGTGGTGCCCCAAGGACAGTGGGACGCCCTGGGGCTGCTCTTGAGGAAAAGTGCTCCCCGGCCAACCACGCGATGGCCGCGGGGGTGCAGGCAGGGGCACAGGGAGGCCAGCTAAAAGGGTGATTGCCCTGAGGGCACTCTTAAGGGGAGCACTTTTGGAGACGTATCTAAAATGATGTGTTTATTCCAAATCCAACTCAAAGTGCTGGTCAGCGAAGGAGATTAGAGTTTCAGGCTAATTTCCTGAGACTCCATAGACAAGGGGGCAGGTCAGCAGTCAGTCGTGCCTCGAGTAGAAAGACCCCTGCTAAGCCTTGTCAAGTGCATTTCCCAGTCTCCTCTACAGCTGTCCACCCGTCCACCTCCCTGCCAGGGAGAAAAA